TGCCTGGACTGGCAGTACGGCCCCGAGGACGGGCACGAGGCGCGCGCCCAGTCCTGCTCGCCGTGCCGGCTGTCGGACGCCGGCGGCTTCGCCAAGCGGGAGAGCCTGAGCCGGGCACACACCCTGCTGCGGCTGAAGACGGCCTACACCAGCCTGTCCACAGACAGCCTCAACAGCGGCAGCACCAGCGATGGCTACTGCACCAAGGAGCACATGAAGCCGTGCCCCAGGGCCGCCTTCCTGGATTACCGGGATGAGCTGCAGCGCTACCAGAAGCGGCCCAGCCGGCTTGACCTCAAGAGCATCCTGGGCAAACCAGAGCGGGCCGAGCCCCCCGAGCCAGACAAACCTGAGCAGCAGGACCTGCCCGAAAGGGCCAAGAAGGTGGTGACGTTCCCCAGCCCCAAAGTGCCAGAGAAGGAGACAGAGTGGAAGAAGGAGGTGGGCACCAAGCCCCCCACCGACCCCCATGTTCGCACCATCAAGCTGTCTCCATCCTACCAGCACGTCCCCATGCTTGAGACCCTGGCCAAGAGCAGCACGGCTGCTGGCCACCAGCCCTCCCTCCTGGGCAGGAAGCAAGCCTGGCTCCCCCCGGCGCTGCTGCAGGCGGCCGAGCCCCTGAGCAAGATCCCGGAGAAGCTGCCGGCCCAGCCACCGGCCTCAGCAGAGCAGGAGTCAGTGCAGAAGTACTCGGTGGAGGACACCCCAATCTGCTTCTCCCGGTGCAGCTCCCTGTCCTCCCTCTCCTCGGCAGACAACGTGCTGGATGGGCAGAGCCACAGCGAGAACGACCTGGATAGCGACTCCTCCCTGGAGATCCTGGAGATGGAGGAAGGGGACGCAGAAGGGGAGGAGGATGGGAGGCAGGAGAAGGAGAAGGCGGTGGATCCGGGTCCCACCACGCCAGTGGGGATCTCCCAGCCCATCACCATCCCCTTCCCGAAGCGTGACAAGGTTTTCCTGCGGGAGGCCTCGCCCTCGCGCCAGGAGGACCTGACGCCCTCGAGCTCCTCGGAGAATTACATCCAGGAGACGCCGCTGGTGATGAGCCGCTGCAGCTCCGTCAGCTCCCTGGGCAGCTTCGAGAGCCCCTCCATCGCCAGCTCCATCCAGAGCGACCCGTGCAGCGAAATGATCAGCGGCACCATCAGCCCCAGCGAGCTGCCCGACAGCCCCGGGCAGACCATGCCCCCCAGCCGCAGCAAGACCCCGCTCTTCGAGCTGGGCTGCCAGCCCGAGAAGGAGACCAGCCAGTTCAACATCCAGTGGGAGAACAACGTCAAGAAGTTCATGGAGATCACCGACTTCAAGGAACGCTTCCAGCTGCCCCAGGACCTGGACTCCATGGTTTACTTCACGGTGGAGAAACCCAACGAGAACTTCTCGTGCGCCTCCAGCCTGAGCGCCCTGCCCCTCCACGAGCACTATGTCCAGAAGGACGTGGAGCTCAAGCTGATCCCCACCTTCCCGGAGAAGAACAGCCTGAACTTCGCGGCTCACGAGAAGAGGGAGGAGCGGCGGGAGGAGCGGTACCTGGAGGGCCGGCGAAGGGCGGAGCGCCCCGAGCCCCCCGACGACGACGACATCGAGATCCTCAAGGAGTGCATCAGCTCGGCCATGCCCTCCCGCTTCCGCAAGGTCAAGACCTCGCTGCTGTCCGGGCAGGTGCTGCACCCGCAGACCAAGAAGCCGCTGCACGTCCCCGTGTACATGCTGGTGCCGGCCCACACCCACTCCGGCGTCCCCAAGCACCTGCGAGCCACCTCCCGCGACCTCTTCAAGGACGACGACTCCTTCACCGACTCGGCCGACGGGACCCCCGTCAACTTCTCCAGCGCAGCCTCGCTGAGCGACGAGACCCTGCGGTACCCGGCGGGCGAGGAGGCCGAGCACCCCCTGGCCGAGCGGCGCCGCCAGCCCGGCACCATCCCGGCCCGCAGAGCCGCCTCGGGCAGCTCGGCCCCCGCCCGCCTCGGCTCCGCCGGGAAGGGCAAAGCGGGGCCGGGCCGCGGCGAGGGGAAGCGGGGCCAGACCCCCGCGAAGGGCACGGCCAGCCTGGAGCTGGGGGCCGGCCGGGCCAGCGGAGCCGCCGGGAGGAAGGATGAGGCTCTGGAGGACGGGGTGGTGTTCCAGTCGCTGTGCCACACCACGCCGACGGAGGAAGCCGTCTACTGCTTCTACGACCCGGATTTGGACGAGCTGCCCGAGGCGGGCAGGGACGGCTCCGGCAGCAGAGCCCAGCCCGGCCGGGCGCCACGGAGGGAGCGCTGGGGAGGCTCCGTGCCCCACAAGGACCCCGAGCCCGGCTCCCGTCCGGCCAAGACGAAGCCTCAGAACAACCTGATCGCCGACGAGACGCCGCCCTGCTACTCCCTGAGCTCCTCCATGAGCTCCCTGAGCGACGCCAACCTCTCCGAGGGCGAGGAGCGGGGCCAGCCCTGCGGCAAAGCCACCTGGCCGCGGTCAGCTGCAGCGGGGCAGGCGCAGGGGGGCTCGCCCAGCTCCCCCAGCCTCAACTCGGAGGATGATCTGCTGCAGAAATGCATCGGCTCGGCCATGCCCAAGCGCCGGCGGCCCGCGGCTCGCCGCAGGCTGGTGGAGAGAAAGCAGAAGCCGCCGGGAGCCGGCGGGAGGGAGCGGAAAGCCGAGGCCAGGCATCACCCCGAGGAGGAGGCCGGTTCTGACCGGGGTTCCGACCTGGACAGCGTGGAGTGGCAAGCCATCCAGGAGGGAGCCAACTCCATCGTCACCTGGCTGCACCAGGCTGCCGCCTCGCTGTCCCGGGAGCCTTCCTCCGAGTCCGACTCCATCCTGTCCTTCATGTCGGGGCTCTCGGTGGGTTCCACGCTGCAGCTCTCCCTGGGCAGGCAGGAGAAGCAGCGGCCCGGCAGCGCCTCCGGCCGGGACCCGGCGAGGAGGGAGCACAGCAAAGGCCGCCCGGAGCGCAAGGACGCGGCCGGTGCCCGTCCCGCCGGCCGCGCCGGCTCCAGGGCGGAGCGGAGCCCGGCGCCCGCCAAGCCGGTGCCCAACCTGCCCGTGGTGTTCCGCGGCAGGACCGTCATCTACATGCCCAGCCTGGCCAAAGATGCCCCCAGCCCACGAGCCACGCCGAAGAAGAGCCCCGCGGCCAAGCCCGAGGCGCCGCCGGCCAAGAACCTCTCGCTGAGCCAGCAGCGCTCGCGGAGCCTGCACCGGCTGGGCAAAGCCCCCGAAACCGGGGAGCTGGCGCTGCCCAAGAGGAGCACGACCCCGCCCGCCCGCATCGGCAAAGGTCCCCCCTCCTCGGGCTCCTCCCGCACCTCCACGCCCTCCCAGCACGCCCCCAAGAAGCTGCCGTCGCCCTCTCAGGCCACCAAACAGGGCGGCCCGGCCGCGGGCAAGGCGAGCGGCTCCTCCTCCCCGCCGGGACCCCCGGCCAGAGCCCCGGCCCCCAAATCCCCGGCTCCCAAGCAGTCCAAGACGCAGAAGTCGCCCGTGCGCATCCCCTTCATGCAGAAGCCCAGCAGGAAGGTGCTGCCGGGCCGGGGGGCCATGCCGGTGCTGGAGGAGCAGGTCGATGGTTCCAAGGCTCGGCCCGGGGGGCCGGGGGGCAGCCGGCTCAACCTGGTGCGGATGTCATCGGCCCGCTCCAGCGGCAGCGACTCGGACCGCTCCGGCTTCCTGCGCCAGCTCACCTTCATCAAGGAATCCTCGAGCCTGCTGCTGCGCCACCGCTCCGACCTGTCCCCGGCGCCGCCGGCCACCTCGCTGCCTCGCCGGGGCTCCCCCCAGCGCAGCCGAGCCGCGCTCCCGGCCGTGTTCCTCTGCTCCTCCCGCTGCGACGAGCTCAAGGCGGCCAAAGCGGCCACCCCCGGCCAGCGGCCGCTCATTCCCAGAGCCCAGCCCGGCGGCAAAGCCACGGCCGGGGCCAAACCGCCGCGCCGGACCAGCTCCGAGAGCCCGTCCCGGCTGCCGGTGAAGAGCAGCGCGGCCGCGGCCGAGCCCTTCAAGCGCTACTCGTCCTCGCCCAACATCAGCGTGGCCCGGCGGGCGGCCAGCCCGTCCTCCGTGCGCTCCGAGGCGGCGGCGCGGCGGCGGCAGAACGAGCCGGCGGCTCCCGGGGGCCCGCCGGGAAAGCCGCCGGTGGTGGTGATGAAGGGCACGTGGCGGAGGATCCGCGACGAGGACATCCCGCACATCCTCAAGAGCACGCTGCCCTCCACCGCGCTGCCGCTGGCCGGCTCCGGAGACGAGGAGCCCCCCGGCACCCCCGGCACGCCCAGGAAGACCAGCGACGCCGTGGTGCAGACCGAGGACTTCGCCACCTCCAAGACCAACTCCAGCACCTCTCCCACGCTGGAGAGCCGCGAGGGACCCCCGCACCCCCGCGCCACCGGCGACGGCGAAGCCCCCGCGCCCGCCAAGGCCGCCCTGCCCATCTCCTTCGGCCACGAGGCGCCCGCCGGGAGCTTCCCCGGCAGCCGGCACGGCTCCCCCAGCAAGGCCGCCCGTGTCACCCCCTTCAACTACGTCCCCAGCCCCATGGCGGTGACGGCGGTGGCCGACAAGGCGGTGGAGAAAATCCAGGCTTGATGATGCCCCAGTGAGGGTCCTGCGACGCCCCCAGCGCCACGGGAGCTGGCCAGGGCTGTGTTTGGGACACACGTGGGGAAGTGGGACAGCTGGGGACCAGCGAGTCACCCCAACCCGCTGCTGGCCCCGGCTGGGGGCTTGCTGTGCTGAAGCATCACCATTGCCAGCAGCAAGAACTGGACAGAACTGGGAACGTTCTGGGTCTGGCAGCCCGAGCTGGGGTGGTTCTCATGGACCATCCCCTCCCACTGATGGATGCCAAGGACAAACAGGTGGGGCTGTGTCACCGTGTGCCCCCATCCTGCTCACCCAGAGCCTGATCCCACACGCCCAGGAGCTGACACAGCACATCCAGTACCAGGAAAACCCCACACGCTCCAGCTTGTCTGGCATCAGCTCATGGCAGCTCATTTATTAACAGGGATGCAGAGGAGAGGCTTTGGAGGGGGAGATGGGGACCAGGACCCCCGTTTGGGGGACCAGGAGCCCCTGCTGGAGGTTCCTCATGGCTGATGGGTGCCGGTCTGAGGTGGTGGCAGAGGGAAATAGGAGGAGCCAGGCAAAGCTCACGGGGGTGGCCGGGGTCCCGATGGGCTCATCCCAGGGGCTGCTCACAGGGTGCTGCCACCAGGCTGGGGGGCTGCTCTGGGAGGGAACAGGGTGCTGAGCTGGCACCAGGATGCCCAACCCCCAGGAAAGGGTCTGGGGTCCCTCACCTTCACCCACAGCCCCCCAGCCTCCCACCCCCAGGGCAGGAGAGCCTTGGCTCACAGCCAGGATCCCGGTGTGGCCCTGTGGATGTGGACACGAATCCATCCAGGACTGGATTACGCCCACGAGCACGGGGCCTGCCAGCCCCAAAACCCTGGGGCCACTCCTGCTGCCAGCCAGGCCCAGGTGCCAACACTGGGGTGTGTGGGAAGTGCCTCAGCCCCTGGGAATGGGATGGGCCGCAGAGGAACCCCCAATCCAGGTGGTCCCAGACCCCTCAGATACCTCCAGTCCTCCACCATCACTCCCTGCTTTGGGTGGACCTTTGTGCCCCCCCATGCCAGTGCCACGGGGGGCTGAAGGGACAGACACAGGGCTATGGGGACATGTGCAAGGGGCACACCTGGGCGGCTGTGGGGACACAGTGAGGAGCTCTGAGTTGCACAGTGGGGCCAGGGAGACACCAGGACCGTGGGGATATGCAGGGGGTCCCCAGGGATGTGCCCTGGGGTCGTGGGGACGGGCACATCAATGCCCACTGGAGCCCCCCTGCCCTGGCAGTGGCTGGCATGGAGGGACCAGTGGCCGGGACTGAAGAAAAGGAGGAAAATCCCAGGAGCGGCACTGCCAGGTGCTGTAACGGAGCGCAGGGGTGGCAGGAGGGCCAGCATCGCCCCCTGGCTACAAACCACCGCCCTCCTCCTCCTCCACCGACAATCCCGCCGGGCTCCGCTCGCCATCGCTGTATCTATGTACTAAGGATGTTATTTTACCAGACTCTGGACAGTATTCCCAATTAAAAGCCAACCTGTGTAAATAGGAAGGGGTGTTTGGTCTATCCCGTGTGTTCAGGCTGGGCGGGTCTGCAGCCCTTCCGCAGCGTTTTCTGGATCCATTTCTTGTGTTTCACGGTCGAGGTGGCCACCGGCGGCTTGAAAGGATCAGTGGCGTTCTTGCCGCTGAAGGACACCACGCCGGCCACTGCCGGCCGCTTCCCGCACACCAAGGGCCCCCCCGAGTCACCCTGAGGAGGGGGTGACACCAGGGAGTGCACCAGGGCACAGGAGAACATCTCACCTGCTCAGGGTGAGCATCCTGCCCGCAGCCAGGCTCGGGTTTTTGGGTTTTTGCACCCTTGGACCCCCAAATTCTCACCTTGGCGGGTGCTGAGCCGCGGCGCTGCCCCTGGACGCAGATCATGGTGGGGCCGATATCGCCGTGCCAGAAGCGGCTGTTGTTGCACATCCGCGTGTCCATCACCGTCACCTCCATCTCCTGCAGGGTGGGCGACAGCCTCCGGCCCTGGGGGTCCACGACCCCCCAGCCCGCCAGGCTGCACCGCGCCCCCGGCGCCGGCTCCCGTCTCGCCAGCGGGATCCGCTGCCGTGTCCTGCTCCGTGTCACCTTCCTGTCCAGCTGCGGGCGGGGGGCGGCATCAGAACCCCCTCCTTGGGCGGAGGGGCTGGCAGGGAGCACCCCAACACAGCGGGTGGGGGCCCAAAGGGGAGCACCCCGATGCTGCAGGTGGGGGACTGAGGGGAGCCCCCCATCGCCACGGGTGGAAGAGGAGCACCGAGCACGGTGCAGCGGCAATGGGAGCGGGGAGATGACACCCAGGTGTGAAATCTCTTGGGGGTGAGAAGAGGAAATGTCACCGAACCGCTGGCCCCGGCCCCGTGCGAACACCCCGCCCCTTCCCGGCAGCGCTCCCCGGCACCGCCGCCGCTCCAGCCCCGCTCGGAGCCCCCCTGAGCCCCACCTGGAGCAGGAGCAGGTCGTTCTCCATCGTCCGTCCGTCGTAGCCGGGGTGGGGACAGACAGCCCGGATGGTGAAGCTCTGCGTGCCCTCCTCGTGGTGCCGCCAGTTGTGCAGCCCCACCAGCAGCCTCACGTTGTGCCACGACCTGCGCCGCCCCGGGAGCGGGGTCAGCCCGGTGCCGGTCACCCGGAGCCCCGTCCCCTCCCCGGGCAGGACCCAGCCGTGCCGGACTCACCCCTCAGGCCGGCAGTGCGCGGCCGACAGCGCCCAGCGCCGGTCCAGCAGCGCTGCCCCGCAGACGTGAACCCCCCCAAACTGCAGGGACGCCATGTAGGGCCGGGAGTGGCGTTTGGCCTCGTGTCCCCCGATGATGGAGGGCTGGAGCCACGTCCCGTCGCCACCAGCAGCTGCCACCGCCCCGGGCAGTGACTCTGAGCCCATGCTGGACACACCGGCCCAAGGGAGGGGTGGCAGCAGCAGCAGCAGCAGCAGCAGCGGCTCCAGGCAGCCCCGAGCCCCCATCCCGCCCCTCCGCGGCTCCCGGTGCGGCTGCCGAGCTGGAGGAGCCTCGGGTGCCGTGTGACAGCGGAGCAGGACAGCAGCGGGGCACGGATGCAGCTCGGGGGGGGCAGGAAGGGGAAGAAGCACCCACAAGGTGACACCTGTGAGGGTGGGAAACACCCAGAGCCCCCGCAGCGCTCAGAGCAGACAGAAAAGCGGTGCCTCCAGCTGCCAGAAATGGGGGTTGTGAGATTTGTGACAGCCCACAGTGCCGGGTGACCCATTCCCACCATCTTTATTAGCAAAACAGGGCAGTTTTTCACACCATGGGGCGGTGCTGGCCCCCGACCCAGCCCCCTCAGGGGGGTCCCTCAGTTCGTCCCCTTGGGCGGGACCCGCCTGGCCCCGCTCCTTGGGCGGGACCTCAGGCTGGCCAGCAGCCGCTGGAAGAAGAACTCGTTCTGGTATTCCAGCGGGACCAGGTGCTGCAGGAACGGGGGCACCTCGGCTCTGCTGACCCCCACGCACACGGGGACCACCCTGGGGCCGCGCTGGTGGACGCTGTGGAACAGATTCCACTGGGACACGCGCTGGCACCACCGGTCACCCAGGGACTTGGCCGAGAGGAGCAGGATGGCCACCCGGCTGGCCTCGATGGCCTCCATGGCCGTCAGGATGACGGATGTCCCGGCCACTTGGTCCTGGTGCTCGGTGAAGCCCCGGAATCCCTCCTCCCTCAGGCGCTCCGCAATGCAGGAGGCGATGGGGTCATCCTCGGGGAAGTACCAGAGGGAAAAGTCGTAGAGAGCAGAGGATGTGCCACCCACGAGGGACATGGCAGCTGGTTCAGGGGCAGAAGAAGGGGTGCAAGCCGTTGTCCCAGCACCCCGAAGGTGCCACCGTGCTGGCCTGGCCGGTCCTGCTGTTCCCTGGGAAAAGCTCTGGGGTGGCACAGCCGGGGCTGTCCCGGTAAATCCGGATCCTCGCGATGCAAACGCTGTTGGGAAGGTGAAACCACAGCGTGGAGGTGCCCACCCCGGTCCCTCAGAACGCCTTCTGCCTCATCTCGGCGATGCCGCGGTCCAGCGCCTCCCCGACCCTCTGCAGCTCCCGGCGCCGCTCCCGCAGCTGCTCCCGGGACTGCTGCAGCCGCTGGTTCATCCCCACGTAGGAGCGGATCTGCCGGTACAGCCGCTCCCGCTCCTCCGCCGCGGGCTCGGGGCAGCCTGGCGGGCAGAGCCGGGGCTCAGCAGCGCTGGGGGCGTGCCCATGTTCCCCATTCCCCAGCGAGGGCTCACCTGGAGCGGGGCCTGGGGGGGCTCAGGGGGTCCCCACGTTCCCCATTCCCCAGCGAGGGCTCACCTGGAGCGGGGCCTGGGGGGGCTCAGGGGGTCCCCACGCCCCCCGTTCCCCAGCGAGGGCTCACCTGGAGGAGGGCCAGGGGGGCTCAGGGGGTCCCCACGCTCCCCATTCCCCAGCGAGGGCTCACCTGGAGCAGGGCCTGGGGGGGCTCAGGGGGTCCCCACGTTCCCCATTCCCCAGCGAGGGCTCACCTGGAGCGGGGCCGGGCTCCTGGGGGGGCTCGGCGGGCAGGACGAACACGGGGTCGGAGGGGAGCGTGCCCTGCACGTCCGCCAGGATCTGCTCGGCGCTGGGGGGCTCAGGGCGGGTGGGCAGCACCCGCTTGGCCTTGGAGCTCATCCCGGGGGGGGCTCATGTGGGGAGGGGCTGCGGAAGGTGGGGGGGGGGGAGGTGAGGGCGCTGCTACCCCGGACAGACAGACAGACAGACAGACACACCGCTCCCCTTTTCTATCCCCCTGTGCTGCCCTTTGGACAGATAGACGGACGGACCCCCCGCAGCAGGCAGAGCGCCCTCAGTGTAACCCCGGATGGACAAACAGAACACCCCCACCTTCCCCTCCGGACAGACAGACACCTGCTGGCCTCCCAAACAGACACACGGATCCCCTGTGCTGCCCCACTTCCCCAGACAGACCGACTCCCTTCCCCCCCCCCAGACTGACAAACTCCCTCACCCCGCCCTTTGAACGGACGGACAGACGGACAGACCCCACCCCCGCCGCTGGACAGACAGACAGACAGACAGAGCCGCACCCCCGCACAGGTAAACCGGCCCCCCTCGCCCCCCGCACACACAGACAGAGCCCCCCGATCCCCCCACCGGACAGACCGACCCCCCCCGGACCGCAGACGGACCGACAGACCGACTCCTCTATCCCGGCCGCACTTCCGCCGCGCCCCGGACACGTCATCAAACCAGCCCCGCCCCCTGCCCAAAGGCTCCGCCCCCCGCCGCTCTTAAAGGCGCCGCGCGGCGTCGCGGAACACGCGGGACGGGAGCGGCGCTCGGGGGGCACCGGGGTTTATTGGGGGGCTGGGGTACAACACACTCGGGCTGCAGAAACTCGGGATCCCGGGCGGGAACGGCCCGGGCTGGCCGGTACCGTTAGCTGGGCCACGGTGCCGGTACTGGGAGCACGGTGCCGATACCGGCGTCTGTACGAGGGACTTCGGTGCCAGAACGGAGGATGCCGGTAGCAGTGCCGGGAGCATGGTGCCGGTACCGGCGTCTCTAGTGCCGGTATGGGGGACTTCGGTGCCAGAACGGGGGTTGCCGGTACCAGTACTGGGAGCGTGGTGCCGGTACTGGTCCCAGTACCGGGGTTGTGGTGCCGGTACCAGTGGCTCTGGTGCCCCTCTTACTTCACCTTCTCCACGAACTCTGCCAGGTTCAGGGATGCTCTGACGCCTGCAGAGACACGGATGCCGTTAGTGCCCGTTCCCGGAGCAGTGGTCGGTGTCCCGGGGCACTGCCCGGCCCGGCCCCGCGTCACCGTCCCGCTCCCTCCCGGTCCCGCTGAGCACGGCGGTCACAGCCCCGGGGGGCTCCGGAGGGGAGCCCCAGCTCGGCAGCAGCGCTGAGGGGCACAGGATTGGGCACACGGGTGGACACACGGGTGGACACACGGATGGACACACGGGTGGGGTCTGGCTACGGAGAAGCGGGAGAGAAGCGCCTGCTCTACCCACGCCCCGGGAGAAAGGGCCGGTGGTGCGGGAGCCGCGCCGGTGCTGCGGGAGCAGAGCGGTTTGGGCGGTGCCGCGGCGGACACGGGGCACGGCCCGGCCCCCGCGGCTCGGTACATACGGGCAGGCTGGGCTGCGGGGCCACCCCGGCCGCCAGCCGGGCTCTGCTCTTGGCCAGAGTGTGCAGGACTGGACCGTGCAGCGCAGAGAGGAGAGAGAGGTTAGAGAGGGGACAGTGACCCCCGGGGCTCCTGTCACGGTGTCCGTGAAATAATCACCCGCCGGTAATTAACGAGCTGCCCCGCCCCTGAGCTGGGAAAACCTGGACACAGAGCAGGTGGAGGGACAGGGGAGCGGAGTCACCTTCTCGGGTGACACTGGAGGCCGCGTCCAGGGCCTTGGTGCCGATGTCACCCATCATGTTGTCCACGGCCCGGTGGTGCTTGAGGAAGAAGGGTCGGATGACGCTGTGGTAGATGAGCTGGGAGCCGTTCCAGGGCACTGGGGCCATGCACCACACCAGGAACAGGCACTGCGGGCACAGGGGGGGCTCAGTGCTCCAGGGCCCCCCAGCTCACCGGTGATCCCAGGATCTGGGCTGGGTGCAGCTCCTCTGATGCATTAAGTTTTAGCTTTCATATTTTCCAGATTCTGTACTGCATTAGTTTATAACTCTGAACTTCATATAAAGTGTTAGCAGCTCTCCTCACAGCTCAGTCACACAGAACAATCCTTTTCCAGCCCCAGAACCAAGGACACCGCTGCAGCTCAGGCCCAAAAAGTGTAAAACAACAGGAGAGCAATCTGGGAGGGTGGGACTGCACAAACTGGAGCTGGAATTGGACAATTAACCCCAATATGGAAACGGACCAAAACTTATAAAAGTGTGAAAACTCATGACACGCCATCCAGCTTGGGTGTAGCTTTGGCTGGGCTCTTACACTGCCCAAGGTGAATCCTTTGAAGGCCTTTTAATAAATCCCTAATTAATTCCTTTAACTCTGCCCGGCTCTGTCCTAGGGAGCCTCTTTGGGCACCACGACCACCAGAGCCCAGCTCCTCCCGTCCAGCCCCGGGATGGGAGGAGCCCGGGACGGGAGGAGCCCAGCGTTACCTTCCCGGCGTAGTAGAAGGGGAACCAGTAGAGGAAAAGGTCGGAGAAGAACTCGGCGATGCTGAAGACGCCGTAGACCACCCAGTACGTGAGCCACATGGTGTCATCCTCCTTGCTGTTGCTCTCGATGGCTTTGATGCTGAGGAAGGACAGGAGAAGGAAGGAAGGAAAAGGAAGGAAAAGGAAGGAAAAGGAAGGACACGGTTGCTGCAGCCCTGGGCTGGGCTCCACCTTCCCAAACCCTCCACACCCCGGAGGGAACCTGTCCACCGGGCTGGCACGCTCCCAGCGCTTCCAGGAAGGTCCCAAGAGCTTCCCAGCCACAGCTGCCTCTTGACTGAGCAGGGAGACCCTCAGCAAAGGGCGGGGAGCGCCCTCCAGGTGTGGGACAGGTACTTACGAGACGTAGGCGGGGTAGACGAAGCCGATGACGTTGCAGAGCAGGGAAGCGCCGTAGCCGAACATGAGGTACAGCCCCAGGAAAGTCACGGAGCCTGCGGGGGACAGGGGACAGTTTGGAGCCTGCTGTCACCAGGGCAGACCCCGTTGGGTCTCCTGAGCGGGATTCTCATCCCAGAGCGGGAACGGGGGCGCGCCGGGGGGTAACGACCACCCCCCGTTAATCCAGATGCTCGATGGAGCGGGGCACGTGGCGGAGCCCGCTCCTCCCCGAGGCACCCGTGACCCGCTCCCGTCACCGTCCGTCCCCTCCCCTGGCTCGGATGGGACTTTTACCACCTCAACCTCGCAGCGCTCTCGGCGCCTGGAGCGGGGCCAGGGCGGCAGGAACCGGAGACGCTGACAACACGCCCATGGTCCAAAGTCAAGGCTCCGCTCGTCTCCCCCGCTCGGCATTCCCCGAGCGAGCTGCGGCTCAAGGACGAGCCCCGCTCCCGGATCTCGCTCCCGGCTCCTCCCGCGGGCACAGGAAGGGTTGGCTCCCCTGGGAGCGGCGATGCAACCCCGCTGCCCTGCTGCCACTCAATTAGATCGCTCAATTAATTAAATGCGAGCCGCAGCCTTTGGTGGAGCCTGCCCAGCGCTGGGACACTCGCAGGAGGCTGGGGAAGGTGGGACAGGGAGGTTTTGGGGTGCAAACCCGCTCACATCAGGGCTGAGAGGGCAGGAAAACCTCAGGGACACTCGAGATGGAGCGATTTGTGCAGCCCAGCACCGGAACAAACTCCTCCAGCAGCAGCAAGAAAGCTGGGAATTAACCTGTCTGTGTGGGTGAATTAAAGTCCTTGCTCGGGCTTGGAGGGCGGATAATCCCAGCTCTGCTCGCTGCAGCATTCCTGGGCTGAGCTCCGGCCCCGATCCGGGCACCCACAGCTCCGGGTCTTTCCTGGGCAGGAGCAGCGTGGCTTTGGAGCAATCCCAAACCTCCCTCCAAGGAGGGCAGGCAGGTCCAGGCAGTGCTGGGTTTCATTCCCCAAGAGCCTTAGAAGGGATTTCGCAGGATTTGAACCCCCAGAGAAATTTATGTAACAGCAAAAGCCCAGGGAGAGGCTTTGCTGGGGGAGAAGTTGGAGGTGGTGCTGCCCAGAGGTTGCTCCAAACCCCAGCCCACGGGTTCAGACACAAATTAGGGATTGCTCCAGAGCCATAGGAGGGAGAAATCAGGAATTTTTAGTTCAGCAACAGCTTCTCCCTTCCAGGGCAGGGATCCAGAATGTGTAACCATCCCTTTTTGGTGTGTCCACTCTTGTTCTACCATCACGGCTGAGCCTGACCAAATCTCCAATTGTTTTGCTTGAGTGGCACCACATCCAAACACGACCTGCACAGCAGCTCGTGCTCCTTCACGGACACTTTTCCCCTCAGAGTGGGAACACCAGCCCTGCTGCAGGTGAAGGGCCAGGAAATCACACCTGGAGGCCAAAGGCTTGGAGGGACACAGCAAACAGGGAAGCCCTGAGCCCTCCCGGGAGGTTTGATATGAAATCTCGATAGGGAGGGCGGGGATGAGGCCAGTTCAAGTTGGCAGAGAGGGCACAGGGCCGAGGGTCAGGGGAGAGTGGCACGGATTCTCCCCGGGGAGAATCCAGCTGGTTCCTCATTAATGAACAACAGGGATCCGGTTAAAGGCCGGGTCCCCATGGTGGGACCCGGGGACGAGCTCCCATCCCCAGTGCCCAATCTGAGCCAGCACAGTCTGGGGGCTCACCCAGAACAGGGACTCCCCCATCAGGGCCAGGGGTCTCGAGGGTCTCTCTGACACCTCTGACACTCGGACCCTGCGAGCTTTAGGATTTCGGCATTTTGTGCCAGCGGAAGGCGAGGGCAGTGCGGTGACAGCGATGTCACCCCCGGCACCCCCAGCCCGTCCCCGCTCCGCACCCCAAAGCAGGGCAGCCCTGCCTGCCCTCCCCGTGCCCCCGTGCTGAGTCCAGAGCACAGCGAGCAGCCGCCAAGGCGCCCCACAATACGGCGGAGAAGGGGACACAACGGGAGAACCGGGGAGGCCCCGCGGTAACGGTCGCACCTGAGGCCAGGTAGAGCCGTTGGACGCCGGTGCGGGCTTCCAGCTGAGCCAGCAGGTCGCCGATCGGGCCGGGGCTGTGGAGGAAGCGCTCCAGGCGCTGCTGCAGGGCGGCCATGGCGGCGATGCGGGAGCTGGAGCGGCCCCGGACCGACCCCGACCCCGGCCCCGGTCAGCGCGGCTTGGATGGGGGGCGTGGCCAGCGGGAGATGGGCGGTGCAAACCGGAGGGGCGTGGCCAATGAGAAGGCGGGGTGGGGATCGAGGCGGGCCAATGAGGCGAGGCCGTGCGGGGGGCGGGACCGACGCCGTTGCCATGGCAACGCGCGCAGCGGCCTCATGGCGGCTCGGCCCGGGCCCGGCCCGGCGCTGTCGCTGTTCCCGGTGCTGTTCGCGCTGCTCGTGGTGGCCGCCACCGCCCCTCCGGGCCCCGCCAAGCCCCCCCGTGTCTACCTGAGCAGCTGGGCAGTGCGGGTGGCGGCGGGGCTGCGGGACGCTCGGGACTTGGCCCGCCGGCACGGGCTGCTCTACCTGGGTCAGGTGCGGCCTGGGCGGGCCCAGCTCATCCCGTGTGCCCCTGGCCCGATCTTCTCGCTCATACCCGTCCTGTGTGGC